GGGATACATATTATAATTTGGACATGCGTTGATCGGTAATTTTTATAAATCGCAGCGCCTACGGAACGGGTTAATTTCTCGCATATTAACGATGAAACTATCCGAGATCTGAACAAAATCAGGGATCATATCGAGGCGAACATTGTTGGACAGGACGGATTGAAACACGCGTTAATTACTCAAAAACTCTTGATTCTGAATAACTATAATTAAATTTCGATATTATGTGAATTGTAAGAATTTATATTTCAATAATTATACTGAAGAAGACCGCGTGCGGTCGAAACGTTTATAGAATGATTGTAATTTGCGTTAGTTTTAATATAATGACTGTAGTTTTATAATTTATACATGTAATAAATGGTAGTTGACTGAACATCTCGAATATTCAGCTCGATAAGTTGGCCTTATATTTATCACTTGGTTTTCAATATACGAGCGACAATTGTATTAATTTATTTTCAATGCATTATATTTTTATATTTTTTTGATTAAATTTTTAAGGTATCAATTTGCTCATTAGTGTCCACATTGCTAATTGAATTTTGCATGATATTATGTGAAAATATTATCGTGATAAATGGTAATATTTTTTAAATAATATTGTTATAATACCTGACTCTCGGTTTTTATGGCAGACATCAGCTGATTAAAATGTTAAGTTGCTAATTAAATTTGAAAATAATAATTATATTTTAAATAATATGTTTATATAATTATTTAAACTCGATTCATTATTTTTTGATAGTTATTAATTGATTTTTGTTTATAAATAGTATTCGAGTTTAAATAATTGTAAATTTATAATATTTAAAACTTAATTATATATTAACTTTTATAACATCTTATCGTTGTAAAAACTAATTAGAAAATTTCATCTTTTAATCACTGATTTTGTCAAAAAAATTAATGAGGTTTAAATAAAATTTATATTATTTATGTTTAAATATTAATCTCTTTAATATAAAATAAAGGAATGGCACGCGTGCGGAGCGTGCTTGTTGTTTTTTGTTTAATTAAAAAGAGAGATATAATTTTTGTTATTAAATTACATTTAACTAAAATGAATAAACTAATGAACAATTAGTTAAAATCTGTCTCCTAGACGTGCTTCTAACTGAATTTTATAAGTTGGCGGTCTCTAACGTCTGGAAAGCAATAGTATGCTATGAATACTGATAATTTATCGATCAGTGGTTACGTAAGAAATACACTTATCTACTAAACTAGATTAATTTTTATTTCAAAAACATTTATTATGTGTATTTATGTAACTGTTTATATAGATTTAAAGATATATCAAATTATTGAAAGTATTATTTAAAGATATATAACTGTCGATAAATTATCATGTCTACTAACTAAGCGTGAAGTAAATGTGATACAACCGATTGTTTCTTAATGATGTGTACGAGTTTTGATTCAGAGATTTATTTAAAATATAAAAATTAATACTATATTATATATTATATATTATATAATTAATAACAATAACATACTAATATAAATAATTATAAATATATTATATTGATTATATCGATAATGTGAAATAATAGAAAATAATATTATTGATCACAATATTAACAACTTTACTATAATGTTCTTCAT